ACTCCCAAGACTGAAACAGGAAGAAACTGACAACCTGAATAGGCCAATAATCAGTAACTGAAGCAATGACCAAAAACCTCCCAAAAAACAAGAGTCCAGGGCCTGATGGATTCCCTGGGGAATTCTATAAAACATTCAAAGAAGAAATAATACCTATTCTCCTGAAGCTGTTTCAAAAAATAGAAACAGAAGGAAAGCCTCCAGACTCATTGAGGCCAGCATTACTTAATCCCCAAACCAGGCAAAGATCCCATCAAAAAGAATTTCAGACTGATATCCCTGATGAATATGGATTCCAAAATCCTCAACAAAATCCTAGCTAATAGGATCGAACAATGCATTAAAAGGATCATCCACCAGGACCAAGTGGAACTTATCCCTGGGATGCAAGCGTGGTTCAACATTCGCAAATCAATCAATGCGATAGAACACATTAATAAGAGGAGAGAGAACCATATGTTCCTCTCAATTGATGCAGAAAAAGCATTTGACAAAATACAGCATCCTTTCCTGATTAAAACTCTTCAGAGTATAGGGATAGAGGGAACATACCTCAATATCATAAAATCACCTATGAAAAACCCACATTGAATATCATCCTCAATGGGGAAAAGCTGAGAGCCTTTCCCTTAAGATCAGGAACACATCAAGGATGCCCACTCTCGCCACTATTGTTCAACATAGTACTAGAAGTCCTAGCAACAGCAATCAGACAACAAAAAGAAATAAAATATATTCAAATTGGCAAAGAAAAAGCCAAACTCTCTCTCTTCACAGACGACATGATACTTTATGTGGAAAACCCAAAAGATTCCACCCCCAAATTACTAGAACTCATACAGCAACTCAGTAATGTGGCAGGATACAAAATCAGTGCACAGAAATCAGTTGCTTTCTTATACGCTAACAATGCAACTGTAGAAAGAGAAGTTAGAGAAACCATTCCATTTACAATAGCACCAAAAACCGTAAGATACCTCGGAATAAACCTAACCAAAGAGGTAAAGGATCTATACTCTAGGAACTGCAGAACACTCATGAAAGAAATTGAAGAAGACACAAAAAGATGGAAAAATATTCCATGCTCATGGATCAGAAGACTAAACATTGTTAAAATGTCTATGCTACCCAGAACAATCTATACCTTCAATGCCATCCCAATCAAAATTCCAATGACATTTTTCAAAGCGCTGGAACAAACAATCTTAAAATTTGTATGGAATCAGAAAAGACCCCAAATCACCAAGGCAATGTTGAAAAAGAAAAACAAAGCTGGGGGCATCACGTTGCCTAATTTCAAGCTATATTACAAAGCTGTGATCTCAAGACAGCATAGTCATAGAATGGCAAAAATTGACAAGGTAAGAAACAACAAATATTGGAGAGGTTGTGGAGAAAGGGGAACCCTCTTACACTGTTGGTAGAAATGCAAGTTGGCACAGCCACTGGGGAAAACAGGTGGAGGTGCCTCAAAAAATTAAAAATAGAGCTACTGTATGACCCAGCAATTGCACTACTGGGTATTCACCCCTAAGATACAGATGTAGTGAAATGAAGGGGCACCACACCCCAGTGTTCATAACAGCAATGTCCACAATACCCAAACTGTGGAATGAACTGATATGTCCTTCAACAGATGAATGGATAAAGAAGATGTGGTCCATATATACAATGGAATATTACTCAGCCATCAGAAAGGATGAATACCCAACTTTTACATCCACATGGATGGGACTGGAGGAGATTATGCTAAGTGAAATAAGTCAAGCAGAGAAAGTCAATTATCATATGGTTTCACTTATTTGTGGAACATAAGGAATAGCATGGAGGACTTTAGGAGAAGGAAGGGAAAAATGAAGGGGGGGAAATCGGAGGGGAGATGATCCATGAGAGACTATGGACTCCGAGAAACAGACTGAGGGTTTTAGAGGGGAGGGGGGTGGGAGGATGGGTTAGCCTGGTGATGGGTATTAAGGAGGGCATGTACTGCATGGAGCACTGGGTGTTACACGAAAATAATGAATCGTGGATCACTACATCAAAAACTAATGCATTGTATGGTGACTAACATAACATAAAAAAAAAAAAACCACTTTCTATTTAGCGGCAGTCCCAACAGGTTGATTTTTCTTTTGTTTTCCTTGCCAGAGGAGATTAATCTAGAAAAATGTTTCTATGGCTGATGTCAAAGAGATTACTGCCTATGTTTATAAGATTAATAAGTTCTGGGGATGTAATACACAGCATGGTGTCTATAGTTAACAATACTATACTGTATACTTGTAAATTCCTAAGAGACTACATCTTAAATATTCTCACAAAAATATATAAATATATATATAATGTAAGATGATAGACATGTTAACCTTATTGTGGTATTCAGTTTGCAATATATAAGTGTATCAAATCATCACATTATAAACCCTAAACTTATACACACCCTAAACTTATACAATGTTATATGTCAATTATATCTCTATAAAGTTGGGGAAATTCAAAAAGGAATGTATGTTTAAGTTTTATGAATGATTTTTTACCTTAAGATAATCTTACATCACTTCTCTTGAGAACCATTAATATAATACCTATATTAAGAGATGATCTACCTTATATTCTCAGAATGAATCCTACTAGATGATGCCATGCTGTTATTTTAATAAACTTCTGAATTCTATTTCCTTATTATTTATTTAATATTTTCACATTTATATTCTAAACCTGTACTGTGTAATGTGGCAACCACTAGCCACATATGGATATTGAACACTTGAAATGCAGCTAATTTGAATTGAGATGTACTATAAGTTTATAATACATACTTGAGTTTGAAGACCTACTATGAAAATAATTACTTAAAATATCTCATCAATTGTATTTTTATTACATATTGAAATGATATTTTGGATCCATTTTGTTAAATAAAACATTACTAAAATGGATTTTACTTGTTTCTTTTATTTTTAATAAAGTTATCATTATCTTTAGTTACATATGTGACTTATATTTCTTTTTTATATATTTTTTCTTTAAATTTTTTATTGTTATGTTAATCACGAAACATTATATCATTAGTTTTTGTTGTAGTGTTCCATGATTCATTGTTTGTGCATAACACCCAGTTCTCCACGCAGAACGTGCCCTCTTTAATACCCATCACCAGGCTAACCCAACCCCCCACCCCCTACTTGCATTATATTTCATTGCATTATATTTCTATGTGAGTTATTTTATTGTCAGTTACGCCAATTATGTCTATTTCAATGTCAGTATCTTTGCAATGACTATTTTGACTTTGTAAAAGAAATGCAAAAATTCCCTTTTTATGTACTATGGCATTGGATTTAATTCTTTTTTTTTAAATTTTATTTTATTATGTTATGTTAGTCACCATACAGTACATCATTAGTTTTTGATGTAGTATTCCATGATTCACTGTTTTCATATACCACCCAGTGCTCCATGCAATACGTGCCCTCCTTAATGCCCATCACCATGCTAACCCATCCCCCCACCTCCCTCCCCGCTAAAACCCTCAGTTTGTTTCTCGGAGCCCATAGTCTCTCATGGTTCATCTCCCCCTCCGATTTCCCCCACTTCATTTTTCCCTTCCTCCTCCTAATGGCCTCCATGCTATTCCTTATGTTTTACAAATAAGTGAAACAATATGCTAATTGACTTTCTCTGCTATCTTGAGGAAATCAGCACTTTCAGAAGAAAAAAATACCAATAAGCAAAATATGCCAAGAAAAAAGTGGAAAGAACAATTAAAAATTAAAATTCATAATTAAAGTAACCTTTCAAAAGGCCAGGCCCCCATATTTTAATTTGTGGAATTCCATATAATTCTTAAAGAATTAAATCCAAAAAACAAAGATTAAGTAAATCTCTTGTGATAATAGCTGGTGATTTCTTTTGTCCTACAAACATGCTTAAAACTTTTAAATTAGTTGAAAATATTTTAAAATCTTAGAATTCCTTGCAAATATCTACATTTCTGTATTCTCTTGAGAATTTAGGGGAGGAAATACAGGAAAACACCAGACCTGCATTTGTAACAGTCAGTAAGAGTAATAGCTTTTTATTTTTAATAAACATATACTCTCCATTTCACTTCTGTTATTCATGCCACTCCAAACATCGCCAGTTCCATTTCACTCACATTACATGCTCAGTCCTGGTAGACATTTGAATCTACTAGCTGGAGAATAGATTTTGGAGTCTAAAAGAACAAAATTCATTTCAAGCTTTTGCACTTAATAAGTATGTGAACTTCTAAAATATTAATAATCTTTCTCAGCTCTACTTCCCATATCTCTTAAATGGGAATGAAATACCTACTTCCTAGAATTGTATTAAAGGAGATAATATTTGAAAAGTGCTCAGTATAATATCTGGCACATAGTAGCTATTTAATCAGCTTTTAAAAATTATTAAGCATATTTGTATTTAATTGGATAATGTATGTTAAATTGTGAAGTAAATAAGGTTAAGGAGGATACTTGTGATGAGCACCAGGTGTTGTATGTAAGTGTTGAATCACTAAATTGTACACCTGAAACTAATATCACTCTGTATGTTAACTAACTGGAATTTAAAAAGAAACTTTAAAAAAACAAGGCTAATGTCCTCCATGCTATTCCTTAAAATGAAGGGGGGGGAGAATTGGAGGGAGAGATGACCCATGAAAGACTATGGACTCTGAGAAACAAACAGGGTTTTAGAGGTGAGGGAGGTGGGGTATGGGTTAGCACGGTGATGGGTATTAAGGAGGGCACATATTGCATGGAGCACTGGGTGTTATATGAAAACAATGGATCGTGGATCACATCAAAAACTAATGATGTATTGTATGGTGACTAACATAACATAATAAAATTTTAAAAATTAAAAAAAAATAAGGCTAAATAACTGTACAGTAAAATGTTTCTAATTAATTTTATGTGCTAAAATTTTACCATAAACAAAACTTTAACTAATCTGGCAATCTGTTATTATTCCAGTTAAAAATGAAGTGGCCTCAGAACTTCCAGATTCAGCAGATCTCCCAGCAATAAATCCATCAATTAGTGATCTAATACATCAATTAGATTTAAATAAAGTCACAGGTAAGTAGAGATTTATGATGTTTAGGCAAGAAAAACTGTTTAACAGTTAAAGTATTTTAAATCTATAGTTCTGTTGTTAAAAGAATATAAGAAATTCAAAAATAGGACAACTTTTCTCAAAAATAATTTTATTCTAATCAATGAATTAATATTTATCTTTAAGTGAATTTATGTGCTCATTAAGCCACCAAACAAGGATTCATTAGATAATGCTTTATAGTTTTCCTTTCCTGTTTGTGAAACAAAAAATATATAGTATTCACCCTACATTGTGAATTTTCATAGCAAACTGGATGTTATATGATCAGTTTCTTTTTTTTTAAAGATTTTATTTATTTATTTGAGAGAGAGAGAGAATGAGAGATAGAAAGCACGAGAGGGAAGAGGGTCAGAGGGTGAAGCAGACTCCCCGCTGAGCAGGAAGTCCCATGTGGGACTCGATCCCGGGACTCCAGGATCATGACCTGAGTCGAAGGCAGTCGCTCAACCAACTGAGCCACCCAGGCACCCATATGATCAGTTTCTTAGAGAACATAATTTTAATTTCTTATATCATCTTTTCTAATAACAAGATGGAATAAAAACAATGGAGCTTTCACAAGATAGACAATATGGCTGCTTTTTGATCTACTTATTACCAAGTTAGGAAATTTCTAATGGTGAGAAAAATATGTAAGAGTTAGAAAATGTGTAAAGCTGGTGTGGCCAGTTGACTAAGTACTTTGCAATAAAATATAAACTTAGTGTTCCGAGGCAGTTTCCAAACAACCACCATAAAGCAGCAAAATAGACTAGGAGGCCCCAAGTTCTTGATCTTTGGAAGAAGCATTAAAAACAAAAAACAATAGCAGGAAGGGAAAAATGAAGGGGGGGCGAATCGGAGGGGGAGAGGAACCATGAGAGACTATGGACTCTGAGAAACTGAGAATTCTAGAGGGGAGGGGGGTGGGGGGATGGGTTAGCCTGGTGATAGGTATTAAAGAGGGCATGTACTGAATGGAGCCCTGGGTGTTATACACAAACAATGAATCATGGAACACTACATCAAAAACTAATGATGTAATGTATGGTGATTAACATAACATAATAATAAAAAAAAACTAGAAAACTGTCAAATCCAACTTTGTTAGAGCAGTGGGAAACAATCAAATGTTTACAGTAACTAAAAAAATGCTACTTAAGAAAAAATAATCTTCAAAATAGTAAGAAAATTTGGTAGAAGTGTGAAGGAGTGCTCCAGCACAAAACCAAACTACAAAGAATAGATCTCCTGGCATTCAAGGCATTGCTACTAGGCATCGCTACTAGGAAACATAAAGGGAATCTCTCAGGTCAAAGTGATGGGATGTTAGACAGTAACTTTAAGCTATATGAATAAATAAACATTTCTAGTAAAGTGCATGCCAAATATAAAAGCCAGTATTACTGAAATTGTGGTTTGTAACTCCACTTTTTATTTTATATAATATTGTAAAGAAAACATATATAAATAATGCTAACTCTATGTCATTGAGCATACAATGTATAAAAATGTGGTTTGTGACATTATAAAAAAGGGGGATAGAGCTCTATAGGAGTAGTTTTTGTATATGACTGGAGTTAAGTTTGGTATCAATTTAAATTAGATTGTTATAATTTTAAGAAGTTATACATAATCCCCTTGGTAACTAAAAAGAAAATATCTACAGAATATATACAAAGGAAATTTAAAAGAAATTTAAAAAGGAAACAAAATACATAGTCCCTTAAAAATCAACTGAACATTGAAGGCGCCCCTTGGAAAACAAATCTTAACAAGTCTAAAAATATTTAAATCATATCAAAAATGTTTTCTGACCACTATGGTATGAAACTAGAAATCAATAACAAGATGAAACCTGAAAAATTCACAAATGTGTGGAAATTTAACAACATATTCCTGAAAAATAAGTGTGTGGGAATAGAGATATGCTTAACTCATTGAAACTGCACTGTGTACAAACCTTTGGAAGTAACACCTCCTTTGCTTAACATATAAGTGTTTCTGAACTTTTCTGTTCAAGCATCTCGTCATAGCTGAATACTTAACTCATTGAAACTAAACTGAACATACATTTAAAATGATATGGTTAGGCTTGTAAAAGAAAATGGAGGGGGAGGAAAAGAGGAAGAAGAGGAGGAGATGGGGAGAAGAAAAAGAAGAAATAAAAAGGAAAATAAAAAACATGACAACCAAAAGAGGAGACACAACATAAAAAAATTGAGGGTCGAGGAAAAGTAGTTCTTGGAGGGAAGTTTAAAGCAATAAATGCCTACATATAAGAAAGCCAGGTCTCATTTTAACAATATGATTACACCTCCACGACACGGGGCCGGGGGGCGGGGTGGGGGGAGAAAAAAATGAAGCCTAAAATTATTAGAAGGGAAAGACAAAGATCAGAAAACAGAAAAAGTGCAGACTGGAAAGACAGTACAAAAGATAAACAAAATCAAGATTGGTTCTTTAAAAGATGCACAAATTGAAAACCTGTAGCTAGTCTAAGAAAAAGAGAGAAGACTCCAATAAAATCGGAAATGAAAGAGGAGACATTACAACTGATACCACAGAAATGCAAAAAGCATCACAAGAGATTACTATGAACAATTTACATGCCAACAAAATTGATAACTGAGAAAAAATGGATAAATCCCAAGAAACATACAGCCTATCATGGCTGAATCATGAAGAGATACAAAATCTGAACAAATAATGTGTGAAGAAATTGAAAAAGTAATCAATAATCTCCAAAGAAATGCCCAGGACCAGATGGCTTCAATAGTTTATTCTAATATATATATATTAGAATATTATATATTCTCTATATCATTGTATATAATTACATTATTTTCTCTATATAATTTTATAAATTTATATAAATGTATACACATATATAAACTTTATATATATTTATATATCATATATAATATATCTGAATTGTATATTTTATATACATATATATATATATATATATATCCTAATCCTCAAAATTTTCCCAAATTGAAGAGTAGGGAACACTTCCAAATTCATTTTATGAGACCAGAATACCTCATCCCAAATTCAGGGAACAACACTACAAGAAAACAAAATGGCAGGTCAATATCCCTGATGAATATAGATGCAAAATCCTCAACAAAATATTGGGAAACTAATTCAACAGCATACTGAAAGGATCATACACTATAATCAAGTGGAATATTTCTGTGATGCAAGGATGGTTTAAAGATAAAGAACAAGATAATGATGTCCACTCTCACCACTTTTATTCAATATACTACTGGAAATCCTATCCAGAATAATCAGGCAAGAAAAAGAAATAAAAGGCATCCAGATCAAAAAGGAAGTAAAACTGTCTCTGTTACAGATGAAATGATATTTTTATACAGAAACCCTAAATACTGCACCGAAATCCATGAATTCAAGAAAGTTGGAGGATATGAAATCAACATGCAAAAATCAGTTGCATTTTTGTAAAACAACAACAAACAACAAACCAAAAACAAAAAATAAAAATTTTTAAAGGTTTTCTTTTCTTAGTAGGCTCCACATCCAGCATGGAGTCCAAAGTGGGGCTTGCACTCACAACCTTGAGATCAAGACCTGTGCTATTAAGAGCTGGACACTTAACCAACTGAGCCACCCAGGTGCCCCCAAAAAAGAAATTAAGAGACAATCTCATATTTAGTGATATAAAAAATAAAATACTTAGAAATAAATTTAACCAAGAGAAGAAAGATCTCTACACTGAAAACTATGACTTGAATGAAATAAATTGAAGAAGACACAAATAAATGCTGGAAAGATACTCCACACTCAGAGATTGGAAGAATTATGTTAATATGCCCATATTATCTAAAGCAAAATACAGATTCAAGGCAATTGCTATCAAAATTCCCGTGGCACTTTTACAAAAGATTTTAAAAACTACACAAATTTTTATGGAACCACAAAAAACTCCAAATAGCTAAAGAAATAGGCAAAGCTGTAGCCTTTGCATATTCAGAATGATATGTTGACATAAAAAAGATAGTTACATGGAACAAAATAAAGATTACAGAAATAAACCCATTCATATATAGTCAACTGATTTTTGACAAAGATAACAAAAATATACAATGGGAAAAGTATAGTTTCTTCAATAGTGTTGGGAAAAATAGGTATCTTTATGCAAAAGAATCATCACCTATTTACACTATACACAAAAATCAACTCAAATGCATTAAAGACTTCCAAAATCATAATATTCATAGAAGAAAACACAGGGGAATTCTCAATAAGATACTAGCTAATCATATCCAATAGTATATTAAAAGATTATTCACCACGACCAAGTGGGATTTTCTCTGGGCTGCAGGGGTGGTTCAACATCTGAAAATCAATCAACATGATGCACCACATTAATAAAAGAAAGGATAAGAACATATGATCCTCTCAATAGATGCAGAAAAAACATTTGACAAAATACAGCATTCTTTCTTGATAAAAACCCTCCACAATGTAGGGATAGAGGGATCATACCACAACATCATAAAGGCCATATGTGAAAGACTCACAGCAAATATCATCCTCAACAAGGAAAAACAGAACTTTTCCTGTCAGGAACATGATAGGGATGTCCACTCTCACCACTATTGTTCAACATAGTAATGGAAGTGATCAGACAAAAAAAGACATAAACGGCATCCAAAATGGCAAAGGAGAAATCAAACTCTCACTCTTCACAGATGACATAATACTCTATGTAGAAAACCAAAAAGACTCCACCCCAAAATTGCTAGAACTGATACAGGAATTCAGCAAACTCACAGGATATAAAATCAATACAAAGAAGTCTATTACATTTCTATACATTAACAATGAGGCAGAAAGAGAAATCAAGGAATTGATCCTGTTTACAATTTAGCCAACACTCATAAGATACCTAGGAATATACCAAACCAAAGAGGTAAAAGATCTGTACTCTGAAAACTATAGAACACTTATG